TGTCTGTTTTGTACTTTCTAATTTGTACTTCTTAATTCTTGTACATTTTCCCCCATTCTGCCATGTCTCCCACCCAGCTGATAACTCTCCAAATGATCTCCATATCTATGATTCTGTTCCTGCCCAACTTGTTTGCTTAGTTTGTTTTTTAGATTCAGTTGTTGATAATTGTGAATTTGTTGCCATTTTAATGTTCATAGTTTTGATCTCCTTTCTCTTAAATAAGTCCCTTTAACATTTCACATAATAATGGCTTGGTGATGATAAATTCTTTCAGCTTTACCTTGTCTGGGAAGCACTTTATCTATGCTTCAATTCTGAATGATAGCTTTGCTGGATAGAGTAATCTAGATTGTAGGTCCTTGCTTTTCATCACTTTGAATACTGCTTGCCAGTACCTTCTAGCCTGCAAAGTTTCTTTTGAGAAATCAGCTGACAATCTTATTAGAACTCCTTTGTAGGTAACGATCTGTTTTTCTCTTGCTACTTTTAAGAGTCTCTCTTTATCTTTAACCTCTGACATTTTAATCATGATGTGTCTTGGTGAGGCCCTGTTTGGGTCCAATTTGTTTGGAATGCTCTGTGCTTCCTGGACTTTACATCTATTTCTTTCACCAAATTCCAAAAGTTTTCTGTCATTTTTTCAAATAAGCTTTCCATTTCTTGCTCTTCCTCTTCTCCTTCTGGCACACCTATGATTCAGATGTTGGTACATTTAAAGATGTCCTCGAAGCTCCTTATTCTATACTTGGGGGTTTTTTTTAATTCTTTTTTCTTCTTGCTGTTCTTAATTTTGTTCTGGTTTTTTTTTTTTTTTTTTGTGGGGAGGGAGGGCAATATTTCTTTGTCTCCTTAATTTGGCAACCTCCCTGTGTTTTTACTTCTGTACATTAGGTAGAGCTGCTTTGACTCCCTGTCCTGGTAGTGTGCCTATTGCAGAAGAGTGCACCTGTAAATTGCATGGGGCAAATCCTTATATATTCACCAGAGTTGGGCAATCCATTTCACCACTTTGTGGCTCTGTGTAGGGGAGGCCTCAGAGAAGGAACAGTATCACTGCATGGCCTCTAGAGATTTTCCCAGGAGGAAACTGTCTCCCAGCACTCATCTTATTACCAATCACTTCACTTTCTTCCCATATACCACTTGTGCCCTTCCATCTGTTGCCCTGGTGCCATATACACAGAGGGTGGTCTGTGTAAGTCCTAAGACCTTTGTGGGCCCTTTAAGAGAAGTCTCCTGAGAATCCTGCAGTTTCTTCCACCACCCCAAACCCCACTGGTTTTTACAGCCAGCAATTATGGGGACTTATCTTCCTGGTCCTGGAACCCTGGTTTGGGTAGTCTTGTCTGTATTGGAATCCCTCATTCCCAATGTATCTCTCCCAATTTTTACCTACTACACATAAATGTGGGACCACCCATTCCACAGCCTCCCTGCTCCACTTTGTGTCTCCACACTTCTCCACACATCTCCACCTCTCCACACCTCTCCTTGTATCTCTGCTTCTCTGTTCCTCCTATCCATCTGGATGAACGTGGCTTCTTTAAATCCTTGGTTGTCAGACTTTCATAGAGCTCAATATTCTGATGAATTTGCGTGATGTTTGTTTTGTAGTCTAGTTGTAATTTTTGCTGTAGTTGTGCAAGGATGCAAAGCCTATTTACCTACACCTCCATCTTGACTGGAAGTCTATATTTTCTTATTCATATTTCTGATCTTTTCTTCCTAAAGAAGTCTTCTTTCAATTACTCTTAATAGTGGTGTAATGGTAATGTACTCTTTTAGAACTACTTTTTAGATCTTTCTTGTCTGGGAAGCTATTTATCTGTCCTTCAATTCTAAATGACAGCCTTGCCAGATAAAGCAATCTTGGTTGTAAGTCTTTGCTTTTCATCTCTTTGAATATTATGCGCCATTCCCTTCTGGCCTAAAAAGTTTCTGTTGAGAAATCAGCTGCCAGTCTTATGGGAGTTCCCTTGTAAGTAACTAACTGCTTTTTTCTTACTGCTTTTTTTTCTTGCTGCTTTTAAGATTCTCTTCTTGTCTTTAACCATTGGTATTTTAATTATGATGTATCTTGGTCTAAGTCTCTTTGGATTCATTTTTTGGGACCCTCAGCACTTCCTGGACTTGTATGTATATTTCCTTCCTCAGGCAAGGTAAATTTTTGGTCATAATTTTCTCAAATAGCTTTTCAACCTCTTGCTCTCTCTCTTCTCTTTCTGGTACCCTTATTATACAAATGATGGTTTCCCAGTGGCCCTTTAAACTATCCTTATTTTTTTAATTCTTCTTTCTTTTTGCTGTTCCAAGGAACTGCTACCTTGTCTTCCAGATTGCTGATTCAGTCCTCTGCGTCATCTATTCTGATGTTGATTCCCTCTAATGTTGACTTCCTCTAATGTATTCTTCATTTCAGTTATTGTATTTTTCATTTCTAACTGGTAGTTTTTATGTTTCTATCTCCATTTTTATGTTTTCTATCTCTTTGTTGAAATTCTCACTGAGTTGATCTATTCATCTCCTATGTTTGTTAAGCATCCTTATACCTGGTGTTTTGAACTCTTCATCTGACATATTGCTCGTCTTCACTCTGTTTAGTCCTTTTCCTGGAGTTTTGTCCTGTTCTTTCATTTGGGACATGTTTCTTTGTGCCCTCATTTTGGCTGACTCCCTGTGTTTGTTTCGTACTAGGTAAATATGCTACACTTCTGGTCTTGGCAGAGTGGCCTTATGTAGTAGATGTCCTTTGGGGCCCAGTGGCACAGTCTCCCTGGTCACAAAAGCCAGGTACTCTAGTGTCCCTTGAGTAGGTCGTATGTGCCCTCCTGTTGTAGTTGAGCCTTGATTGCTGTTGGCATGTGAGTGGGTTTGAGTGTCCCTCTGACTATTGACTAACAATGAAGACTGGTCATGACTATAGCAGACAAGCTGTTATATGGAGGCTGACCCCACAGAACAAGAGTGGCTTTAGCAGGGTCCTAGTACCAGCTGAGTCTGCCCCTCCTTTGTGAAGCTGGTTGGTTGATGCTCTTGTATGGTCTGAAGCCAGCCACCAGGTGTGCTACTTATAGAGCCTCTTGAAAGGGGCTCCAATGCAGGTCAAGGTCAGCCACCATTTGTACGTGGCTTAGAGCTATCTGGCAGGAGCTACAAAGTGATCTGCAGTTGGTTGCCACTTGTGCTGGTCTCAGAGGCACTTGGAAGAGGCCATTCTGTGAACCAAGGCTAGTTGTCTCTAGTGTCAGGCTGGTCCCCTAGGCATCATGATGACAGCTGAGGCCAGCTGCCACTTGTACTGGGTTGTGACCATTTAATTAAGGCTATATTCCAAAAGAAGCCTGGATGCCACTTATGCCAGTCTTGGAGCTACCTGATTAGAGTTACAGTGAAAGTTGAGAGCACCTACCACTTGTAGTGGGCTTGGAATAACTTAACAAGTGTTATAGAGCACATCAAGGCCAGTTGCTGCTTGTTTGTATTTTGTGGACCTTTGAGAGAGATTTTAGGAAAGTCCTCAACACAAGCTGATGCAAGCCATTTCTGAAGAAAAGCAGCTGGAAGAGGTTTGAGCAGGATGTGTGATTTGGGTGGTGCTGGGTCTAAGGGAAATCACCAGGGGACAGGAGGCAAACAAGGTTATCCAGATTAATGGAGAGCTCAGATTTGGTGCCGACCTGTGCCTCCTGGATGGGCTAGGGGTAGGTAGGAGGTCAACAAAGGAACAATGGTGCCTGCCAGCACTTCTGTTTTGGAGACAGTTGTCCCAACCCCTGCTCCTCCAGCCCTCAACCTGAAGTTAGTCAATTTAGTTCCTCCCTGTATGTCCCTGATGCTTTTTTGAGCTGCTGTCTGCATGTTGGAGTTCAGAGTGCATGAATTTGTGAGTGAGTGAGTGAGTGAGTGAGTTTATGCACAGGCCTTTTAAGACCTGTAGTGCCTAGGTCTCCAGCAGCTCTCCAACTCATTTGGATCCAATCCCAGCTGATTTTTATAGCCAGATATTATGGAGTCTCCTCTTTCTGGCACTAGAGCCTTGGGCTGGGGAGCCTTTGTGAGGCTCGGACCCCTCATTCAGGGGTGAACTCTGCAGTTGAGACACCCTTCCCAATTCTCTTTTTTTAAGATTTTATTTACTTTTAGAGAGGGGAAGGGAGGGAGAAAGAGAGGGAGAGAAACGTCAATGTGTGGTTGCCTCATGTGTGCCCCCTACCGAGGACCTAGCCCACAACCCAGGCATGTGCCCTGACTGGGAATCAAACCGGTAACCCTTTGATTCGCAGGCTGGTGCTCAATCCACTGAGCCACACCAGCCAGGGCATAATTCTTAATCACCACATTGCAGTGTGGAACCTGCCCATTCTATGTCTCTACCCCTCCTACCAATCTTAATATGGCTTCTTCTTTATATTCTTGGTTTGGCTAGTCTTCAGGTGGTTCTCAATGGTAATTGTTCTATAATTTAATTGTAATTCTGATGTGGTCATGGGAGGAGGCAAGCACAGCATTTACCTTCTCAGCCATCTTGACCAGAAGTCTTATGTCTTTTATTTCACTGCTTTATCCCCAGCACTTGGAACAGTGACTGGCATGTAGTAGGTACTCGATAAAAGTTTGTTTCCATCAAACACATGGAAGGATGGATATGTGGATCCATGGGTAGATGTGTGGGTGTATGGATAGATGCATGAGACAGATGCATAGATGGATAAAGACATCTTGGGAAACAGAGAACACAGGATCCCAGAAACATAGCAGACACTAACCAGGCATACAAGCTGTGCACCTACCCCAGGTGGATAATCTTGAGATGTTGCTGCTGAGGTGCTCCAGCCCATGTCCCTTTGAACCCAAAGGGGAAATAGGCCAAGCATGGTTGTTCTCTGGTGCCCTAAGCTCCCATGTCCTGGTCACAGGGCAGCTGGGATGCCAGGATAAGACAAAGGCTGACAACAGGCATACATCCTTCCCACTCACTTTGTGTTCTTGGCTTCCAGCTCGCTCCAAAAGCCTGGTGATGGGGGAGCAGAGCCAGAGCCCCAAGCAGCCACCCTGTTCCCGCAGGCTGGGCCCAGTACTGAAGGCAGGCTGGCTGAAGAAGCAGAGGAGCATCATGAAGAACTGGCAGCAGCGCTGGTTTGTGCTGCGTGGGGATCAGCTTTTCTACTACAAGGACAAAGATGAGACCAAGCCCCAGGTGAGAGGCACATGTTCTGTGTCTGGCAGACATCACGTACCAGATGGGGCTTCGAGGGAGGGTTAACAAGCCCAGAAGAAGGGGAGGCAGAGAGGCCCTCCCCTTGGGACCTCCACCCCTCAAGTACCCAAGCCACTAATTTCACTAAGAGTGACGCTTCACCAGGATCTCCAAAGTGGTTTTTATTCAGTAAAACAAGCTCCTGGTGCCACAGCTTGTTTTACTGAAATACATCCACACCTTCAGTAATGAACACATTTCCTTATGATGTTCATAGAGAGCACCTGTGCACAGCTTGAGAAAACAAGTGTTTTCTGTGTTATTTTCAGCCTCTTTGTGCTTCCAAGAAGACACAGGTGCACACATTTTGTTACTTTTATTGTCCAGGGAAATGGGTACCCAGACTAATCTAACCTCCAACTGAAATCTAGCTCTTTGTGAACCCCTCTTGTCAGATGCCCCTGTCTCCAAGTGGCTGCTTGTGTTTTCCACCAGCACTGTAAAATCCACCTCAGGTGCTTAACATGTCTGCCTTTCCACTCACATGACACTAAGGTCACTCACTCAGAGCAACTAGTTGCCTCACCCCAACATGGTGTGGCCTGCGGACTTTGGACTGTGCCCAAGTCATAATGAAGTACTACTATTCAAGGCAGCTGGGCTCGCAGAGCCTGGAAGACTCTGTTATGGGATTCAGGGAAAGAAAGGACATCTGGAAGAGATCCTTATTTCTCTTGGGAAGAAACTGGGAAGGAAATGTAAAGAACTCATCCCAAAGGATGTTTCTTGTCACTGTTCCCAGCTGGAAAGAAAGGGGAGATCCTATATCTGGGACCAGGAGTCGGAGAGCCTTGGTGGGCAGGAGCTTCTATGCATCTCAGCAGTTCCCACAGTGTGATGGTGGGGTCTGGGAGGCAGTGGGGTGCTCAGTGATGGGCAAGGTGGGAGGAGGTACCTGGGCACAGTGCAGGAGCACATTGATATCACAGTGAGAAAATGCCTCCTTCACCCATCTTCCAATTTTTCTGAGCACATCAAAGAGGAAATGTCAGTTTGGTGATAGCATGTCTTTAACACTTCTCCAACACTTGGGGTCCTCTCTTGAAAAAAATTGAGAGTGAGGGTGAGAAGCAGGCTTCATCTCAGAACTGTCAGTGGCAACTAGCTGCAAGTTAATAACTTTCTATCTTCACTATGTTATTCTAATGGCTAATTTCTGTTTATGGAAAGTATTCAATAATATGGGTTTCCATTCTTGAGAGTGATATCATATTTTTCTTTCTAAAATATATCTAAGTTAAAAGTAAAATGTTTTATACATCAACGTGAATGTACTTAATGCCACTGAACTATACACTTAAAAATGGCTAAAATGTTAAATTATATGTTATGTGTATTTTGTCACAATAAAAAATGCAAGTGAGACTGCTTAAGGAAAACCTACACAAATAATAGTAGAGATAAGAGGTGGCTGACCCATCGGTGACATATCACTGTGATGACTGTAACCGAAGTTTTCAGGGGCCCCTGCCTCTCAGAGCCCTGCCCATGACCCCTACTGGCCCAGTCCCTGGTACCATCTCCCGAGGGAACAGCATTGTGATGCTGGGTACACTGAAGTCACCCAGAATACATAGTGATCCCTGCCACAGGCTTCCCCACAATACTCCTTGTGGCAAATACAAAGTGGCTCCCACCCACAAGCTACTGCTCCATAAGGAACAGCATTTCTTGAGCCAGACACTCCTCTCCCTTACCCACCACCTTTTCCAGACTTCAATGGCTTCTGACGGAAACAGCTAGTAAAATGGAGGTATCAACATTGTTAGTCACCAGCCTGGACACAGGAGGAGTCCAGGCCCTATTAAACAATGGCATCTACAGGGAGGCATCAGATCCCTGAAAGAGCCAGCACTTCCCAAGGGATGCTAGCACCATACCTAGGGCTCCTCTTTTGGCCTCTTAGGGCCTGGCCAACACTCCCAGATCCTCTTAGGACAGTATTTCTTCCCATACTCCCCGCTTCCCAGCAAAGCCTGACTGCTCTGGCCATCCTTTTACACAGGTCCCCAATCTCAGGGAGACTATTAGTCAGATTTGACTCATTTAGCTTATATATTAGGATCTCAAACTTTCATGCCTGCTGGCAAAATAGCACACAAATTTCAATTTAATTACATGAACTAAATGTAATGGACTAATTCTCAGTATCTGGTTCCTGGAAAAATGTGCCCTGCTCACTGTTTACAGTGACAGAAGTGCCCAGGCAGTGAGCACCCTCTGACAGACAGCCTGTCATCTGTTTAGCAGATGCAATTGTCCAGAGAAGAGATGTCCAGATATCCTTGATGCTGCCCAGAGTGCATAACACGTGATGAGGATCACTCTTTGAACACACTCTTTTTCTCTTGCCAAAGCCCTATGTCTTCCCCTCTTGCCTCTCACTAGCAAGAGGGTCAGCCGAGAACAGAGCACAGAGATGGAGGAAAAGGAAATAGCTTGTACAAACTCAGATGGACAAGCTAGGCAAAGGTACTTTAAAACGGAACCTGAAAGTGTGCCCCCTCCCTCCAGCTTTTCCCAATAATGTTCCTGATAGTTTCCTAAAGACAGACTTACAGTTTCAATAATAGAGGATTCCAGACCTTTTCATCCTAGTGGTTTACCATTTGAAATGTTTCTTGGGCCATGAAAACTCCTGCCACATTCTTTGTTAATCAGCTTGGCATATTGCCACTGTTTGAGGACTCACAAAATGAGCATAGTTATGCCAGTTCTTTATTTGTAGGCTTCTTAGCTTTGAATAGAAATGGAATAGAATAGAAATGTAAAGTATAACTTCTAAAATATAAGATGGAAAAAATGTAACAAATTAAATGTGACCAGGTCAACAAATGAGCAGAAAATGGGGGGAAGAAATATTAAAAGAAAGGTAAATAGAAAATGAAAAATAAGTAAATTAGATAGTAAGGAATAGGTGCAAAACTTTCAGTTATCATACTAAATGTGAATAGAGCAGGTTAGTCTGTCTCTTAAAAGATAGAAAGTAGAAAATTATCTTTAAAAAGGAGAGCAATAAACAAAAAGGTAAAAAACAAAACAACAGAAAAAGATTAGCCAGAAATTTGAGAAAAAAGAAAATAGATTTAGCGACATCAAAATAAAATAAAAATAAAAGTCAAAGTGATAAAAACAAAAGGGAACAAATTAAAATATTTCAAAATAAGGTAAATAAGAAAATAGAGCAGCTGTGAACTTTTATGTTCTTAATACATAAGTTTGGAGGATTTATAAACAAAGAAAACAATATCCATTGTAATCCATCTTCTTAAAAAATAATTTTTCAAAAAATAACATGACAGCAGTGCAAAATTTAAAAAAAAAGACTTAGAAATGAAGAACAAAATGATAGTGAGTGAGGGTGTGTATGCAAGAGAGAGGGATAAGTCTATACAAGCAGAGGTAAAACACACACAGTCCATACTTCCTAAATTAAAAAGAAAATCAAAACTTAAATTCACACTTGTAGTTAAGAACGACAAGTTTAAAAACCACACAATTCCAGTCAAGGGTAGTAAAGGCATGTTTTGACCACATAGCTATGTAGAAAGGACAGGAAGAAGCAGGAGCATCATCTGGATGCTAGAAAACAGGTGGACAGAGAGAGCTGATTTAGCAGATCCGACAGAGCTGAATTTTAGACCAGCACTGGGGAGGGCACACAAACTGTCCGGTTTTCAAAGCAGCTCTCCCACCAAAGACTTAGCAATTGGCCAGACCAGATATCTCTGGAAATGAGGGCAAAAAAAGGAACTCAAAACGAGAGCACTGGTTGGAACTCAGTTTAAAAAGCAATTAGATCCCATATCTCCTGAACAACCTAATGCAAAGCTGTGGCTGCCGTCCCCCTGGGGTATAACACTGGAGTTTATTCTCTGAGAAAGTTGAGAGAGAGGCACTTCAGAATAGGGACACAGGCCCTGCTATTGGTTGGAGGACCAGAGAGAGAACCACAGGTTAGATAGAAGTTGACATGCTGACCACTTACTCAGCTCTTCCTTCCTCACCCCACCTTTGGCTCTCAGGCCCCGGAGGTCTAGAACTACCCTCAGGAAAGAAATGAAGAATTTTCACTGGAGAATCTGGCAGGACAGGAAGACAAAAAAAAAACCAAAAACATGCTGACAACAAGGGCCCCCTGTGAAACGGCCCAAGGCCTGCCATGTTCCTGCCTCTGCTCGTAAACTCAGTCAGCTGCTAAGAGAACCATTTCTCAGAAGAGCTTTAGATCACTAGACATTTAAGGAAGGAATATCATAGGAAGGACAGATACAAACACGGGGAGGAGACAAAGCAAGTCGGAGGCAATAAAAACTATGCAGGGAGAAGAAAACAGTTATATAAAACTCTCTTTAACATCTCTGAAGAGAGGCTATAGAAATGGACAGCCAGAGGACAGACCAGCCCCCAGAATTCCAAAATTCTGATATCTATCACAAACAAAAATTCAAAGGATTAGATGAAAAACTTGACACAATCTTCCAGAAAGAAGAATAACAGAGAGGAAAAGAGGAGAGACAACCCAATGTCTGAATAGAGGGAGTTCTAGAGAGAAGTTCCAGAAAGAGAGAAAAAAGGAATCCTTAGAGAAATGCTTCAATTAAGTTAAATTTCCAGGGTGGGTGTATAACACTGAGTATGACTGAGTACCCAGTTACCTGGAGACTGAGGAAGTCACAGGGAAGTGGAGCACAGGGGAGAGTTGGGGAGGAGTAAATAAACAAATTCTCAACCTTTCTTTCTGGGAATTCCATAAATAATGCCTAAAATTTTAAATCCAGACATAGTAATATAAGCATATTGTTTAGAAATAAACAAAAGAAAAGAAAGAAGACACCTCATCTAAAAGAGCTAAAAGTGATGAATTGAGTTTCAAGAAATGGTGAAAGAGGAAGAAGTTACCTTATAACAAGCCGTGTTTAACCATTTGATCCTTTAAC